ACTTGAACCGACAACACAAATTCCCCTCCCTGCCCAGGGGATGTTTCTGGGTCAGGACTCCCTCCCTTAACCAAAGAGTTAGACATTGCTGGACATTTTCCCAGCACACTACCCTGCTTCTCTGGCTGACCTTTACAGTTAGGACCTCTGGATATAAACTCATGAAAGATAGCAATAAGGCAAATTCAGCTGCCTTGGGGCTCACAAAAATGCAGTGTTTCAATTCAAACAGACCCCGAAAATCCCAATGGCCACATACAAGCCATTCCTAGTCTATGAGGTTAAAGCAACAGACCCACCATCATCAGGCCAAGCACCCTGAACTGCTTCTTCTCATGAATGGTTCCCCCACTCATGAGAATTACGCATGTGACAGTGGCCAGCAGAAGTCAAAGCTAAGGTTCTCGGGCATGGAGGTCAGAGCTGAGGTTCCTGCCTGGTGCAAAGGCAGGTGCATCACACAAGGATCAACCTGGGACTCCCACATCCATTTACAAATGCCTAAGGATATAACTAGGGGAGGACGGTCCACTCTCATACAACCTACCGGACTAGCCCCATCCCCTATTTCTAATGCCATCCGTGAGCACCCAGAACTCACTCTCCACTGTTTACCAGCACTTCAAGCAACCCACATTACTCACAGGTCAAAACTAACCAGCAGAGTGGGAGGCCTTCGGGGCATTGCTGAACAAGGTTCTTCCTGCTAAAGCAGCTCTTCCTGCTGATTTGGAAAAAGCTTCTTCTAACCTTCCTCATGTAAACCACATTCAGAATTAAATGAAATATGAATTCAAATATGATCTATCATAATATACCAAGGCAAGATGCTTTATAAAATACTGTCTTCAGATATTTTTTGTCCCTTTCTTCCATCTCCATTGAGCTTATCCTATACTATTTAATGGGCTACGACAAAGATCAACCAGGGAAGGGAGCACTGCCACGGGAAATCAGCCAGAATTGTTTAGAACCCAATGGAAAACTATTTTTAAACTATTTTAAATTGTTAGTTGAAGTGGAAAACGAGTTTCCCTGTCTACAAAGCTCTGATTTAGCTCTTTTGACTTGGTCATCAAAAATGTATTTTCCTGACCTTCAATGAGTTGCATCTTCCTGCTTTTTAAAAAATGTCTTCCATTCTCCATATCTAAATAAAGTCTGAATCTCACTTATTTCAGATTCAGATTCAACAAACCTTCCACAGCAAGCTTAACTATATGCTAGGCAACACAGAATCGACTCCCTCTATTATCTAGAGATTTATCCTTTTACAGATGAAGGAACAGGGGCTCCATTAAGTTCAGTGACTTTCCTGCTTTCCTGGACCTTGCAAGTGGCATCTGCAGAGCTTCCAAGTCTATGCTCTCAATGGCAACACCAGGTAAAACATTTTTCCCAGTATTGCTTGCAGCTGGCTTTATCTTTCTGGACTCTTGCCTAAGATAAGTTACAAGGTTTGGGGAGGGGTTTTTGCTCCAGGTGATCTCAATTTGGAATCAAGGATTCTAAGCACCTCATAGAAGGATAAATACAGCTGTTGCATACTGCAAACAACCTTTACAGAGGACCTTCCTCCCTGGGTTCAAATAACCAGAAGTTAATTCCTACTGGTTTGTAGATTTTGTCCAAACAAAGGTTCACAATTAACATTATGTCAGGTCTTATTCCTTTATGTCTTTTCTATCCTCTAACCACTATACCGCTAGTTCAAAGGGTCAGAGCACACGATTAGGAAGGAAGAACTAGGCCTGTTCTTCCATCCCTGTGCAGGCCAACAGGCAGACGTACCTACCCTCAGCCACCTGGGGTACGGAGGTCGAACTAAATATTAAGACGGCTTGGAGTCCGGGCTTGGAGGGGAAGAAAGGAAGGGCTTTCTAGAATTTCAGAATTTCGAGGCATAACCATTCACAAAATATAAACACTGTGTGAAAACCTACCAAAACAAGCACTATTTCTATAACCAAAGACAAGAAAACCTTCATTATTATTCCTTTCCAGGAAGTCAAGTATGTCCTTTCTGCCTGTTGCTTGCTTACTTGCTCTTGTGTTACTCTCCATTTCCTATCTTTCGTGAACATGAGAGGCATGCCTATTCTTTTCTGTAGAAATCTCCAGGCCAGAAATTTTACCTCTGGTGGCTTTTAAATGCTAAGATGCTATACGAAACATGATACTGAAACTCTGAATAGACAGTTAAAATCGTACCTTTACTGTGGTGGAAAGTCACTGCCTTATTCACCTAAAATATTATATAGAAAGATATCAAAAATACTACCAGGATATTAAATGGCTTTAGAAACAATAACAGGTCTCAGTTCCAATCTGTGACATATAAGGTGGGACCCACCCCCCCCGCAAGCCCGAAAGGGTAAAAATAGGAGAGCATTCCAGAGACATTTGCAAATAAATTACTGCCCTCAACTGAACCACAGCTGGTTTACTGATGGAAAGAAAGAATAACAAAAGGATGGCTCTTACAGTGCAATGATATTGCATGTGTGAACTCAATTTACCACCTGCAAGACTTAGCTTAGGGTTATGCTCCTTTGATCTACAGAGGAAATGCTTTACACAGTAAGAATAGCTGATCTTTTTACACTGGTTAGGGCATGAGTTCAAGGGGTTCTCTGTCAGCTCTGTAAGCACTCAGTTTCCTCACGGGCATTGTAAAAACCCACAACAAATCATGTTTGGTGCTATTTGTATGTAAACGTTCTTAGTATTACTTTTTAAATGAAAATCCATGGATCTCCACTAGAAGGCCCTTTGTAAAAAGTCAGGCCAGGTTGCAGGATACTGCAAATGTTTGCTCCTTCACGAGTGGGTTCTGTGACAATTTCTTCTCCCCCACTCTGCCAGGCTCCGAAATGTGTAAATTCTATTTAATGAGTTTAGTTTGATACAGATCTTTCTGCTTTCGTAATTCCTGAAGCTTCTCAGGTTCAAGAAGTCCAGGTCGGCTTGAACTAAGTATCTGTGAATTAAGACTGGACGTTTGCTCCCAGTCTACTGAGCCACTAAATCAGAATTCAGGGAAATGGGGATTTTACTTACTTCCTCCTTCTCCCCCATCCTCACAAGCATGAGTAGGCCTGGACCAGACAGTCCTAGGTCTGAATCATGCCCTTACCACTGTCTAGCTGGGTGACCCTGTGCGGGTCAACTTCTCCAGAGTATTAGGTTCCCTGTTGCTGTATGTGAAGTAATATGCACCAAAAATGGTCATTTTGTGGATTATGAAATAAGTGTATGGTCAAGAACTATTCTTCCAAATATGCCTGTTTTATGAGAGATGCTCAGTGTTAGCTGAACCTGAGTGATGCATCTGGAAAGATTATTAACATGACTACTTTTATTGTTAGCCTTTCCTGTTACATTCTCCAGTCACATGCAGCACCCAACTTGAAGCTCGTGTAAAAACACTTGAACAGACTCGATGTTTTCTTCCAGAGGAAAAAAAGAAGCAGGTAGAATCCTACCAAGCCGTTAGAATGAAACTCTCCTGAAGATGATAGGCACTCAGGCAAGAAAATCTGGCTGGCTGTCCCTTCCTTCCTTCCTGGTGTGTGTTGGTCTCGGCGACGGGGGATACAGACGATGCCCCTTGCCCTGGTCTCAGCCCTGCACAAGGTTGGCTTCTCCGCAACACGCCCTCCCTCTGGACCCACAAAGAGCAGCAAGACCTCCCGCTCCCCCGATGCCCCCAGTGCTCTTTCTAGATGCGGCAACAGCAGATCCGCCTGCTCTCGGTGCCGCGCCCCAGGCAGCCGAAAGTCCCCGTGCTAGAGCACTTGTGCTCCTAGACATGGAGCTCGACGGCATCAGAAATCGTCTGTGCTCTCCTGCTCCAGTGGCCCCAGCCGGCACCCTCCTCTCCCCTCATCCTGGCAGGGCAGGCAGGGCGCGTGCAGACGCAGCAGTCCCACAAGCGCGTCTGCTGTGAGGGCGCCCCCATCACCCTCGCCTCCCTCCCCCAGCAAAGTCTCACCAGGGTCAGGCCAGGGCCCCCTCCTCGGGCCAGGCCGGGAGAAGCGAGTGGGAGGGGTGTAAGGATGGGGGTGCACTTTCTGGGACCCGCTTATACAGCCTTTGTCACCCCATTTCTTGCAGGAAAGAGAGCGAGGAAGCCAAGACCGTGCGGAGGTATCTCCAAATCTGTTGCGCTTCCAATCTTCCCCGTAACACCACTCAATTCACGGTCCCCCAGCCGGGCAGCTCTGCCCAAAGCCCGCGAACGGCACCCCACCAAAGCCCCGCGCCCCACTGCCCGCCCAACTCTCGCCCCACCGAGCCTCCGCAGACTCGCCGTTTTCCAAAGCAGAACCCCGTCGATGGTCTCGGAAGTTCTCCCACCTCCCCCTCCGACTCCCCAGTTGGGAGCCCCACGCGGATCCAGCTCGCGAGGCGAAGAAGCCGGGAGATCTCCCCTCAAACCTTTGCTCACGCCGGGTCCCGTCCCCTCTTCTCTCCCTCCTCCAGTCTAGCTCCAGTCCCAGCGGTTCTCTCCCCACTAGAAGAGGAAACTTCTTTCTGGACTAAATTCAGGTCCGAGCAGGAAAGGCTTTCCCTTCCCCGCCTCCCCCTTACACCAGCTCTCAGAAACCGCAGGGAGCCGGCACCAGGGGCGCGCTTACCCTCTACCCCCCAAAGAGCCCACTGGTCCCCGACTTTCCACTGCAAAAGTTCCGGTAGGGTCTGAAACCACCAGGAGGGTATGTACATTCGCGATTCTTCCAGAGACCCTACCTATGCCTCGTGACTTGCAAGAAACAAGCAAACAAAACACAAACCCCAGCAACTTTGGGGAGCGAATGAGTGTGTGTGCGTGTGTGTGAGAGCGCGAGAGCATCGCTCAAGAGTTAGGGCAACAGCTGCAAGAGCACATCTGGAAGGGGGGAGGGGGATTGACGAGGAGGGGACCAGAGCGACTCCCCCCAGCCCCCGCCCCTGCCCTCTCAGCTTCAGGGCCGAGAGCCCGACCAGCCAGCGCTTACCTGTCCTAGGTTGATGAATCCATACTTGCTGGCTATGCGGTTGGCCTCCGGGAAGCCGCCGGCGATTTTGACTGCCCAGTGGTTGGTGTAGACGCGCGTCCGGCACACGGGGAGCAGGCAGCCCCCGAGCAGCGCCAGCACACACAGCAAGTCCAGCCGTCCCGGGCAGCAGCAGCGGCTCCCCCAGCCCATGGCCCCGGCGCTTCGCTGCTTCTTCGGTCGCTCGCTTGCTCCGCGCACTAAGCTGCGCGCACAACTAACTTCTCCGGCCTGGGCCGCCCCGGCTCGCAGCCCCCGGCCGCCGCGGCTCGCAGCCCTGGGCGATCGGCAGGAGGCGGCGAGCCCCGGCAGGGAGCAGAGCAGCGAGCCTCGCGCCGACTCCTAGACCATCCCTGGGGCTCCGGAGACCTGTGCTCCCAGCTCTCCGGCCCGCGGGGCGGTCGGCCGGCGCTCCCCGGCTCGGGCGCAGGAGGCGGCTGAGTGGGGCGGGCGCCCTCCCGCAGCTGGGTCTCGCCGGGCTCGGCTCCCGGACTCTCCGACTCGCCCTTGCTCCTCCAGGGGCCCCCGAGCGCGACGGAGGCGGCGGTGCAGGCAGCAGCCGGGCGCCCCCTCTGCTGGCCCAGGTTCCGAGCGCTCGCTAGCTCTCTCCCCGCGCTCCCTCCGGCTCCGAGCGGCGCGCCGGGAGTGTAAGTGGCAATGGCAGCAGCACCCTCTCTGCATAAATGACTCCCCCCGCCCCGCTCGACACCCCTCCTTTCCCACATCTCCCTCCTCCTCTCCCTCCTCCGCCCGCCCGAAAGCGGCCACGGCCAGGCGCCAACCAGGTCCTAGCGCCGCCGGGTTCTTCAGGCTGTAGCCTCCAGGGTCCTGAGCAGCAAAAGCGAGTCTTTCCAAAGGGCTGGGAAGAGAGCCCCGGTGTGGAGGTTTTACCCCCTTCTCTCCCTTCCCTCATGGATTTGTATTAATTTACCGCCACTTCCCGAAAGACTAAAAAGATTTACAAGCTGGTTCTAGTCAAGTGCCCCGAAGATTCATTCATCCTAGCTCTGAACGTCCTCAAGCAACGAAGTATTTAAGGAGCTCACTTGCGTGTCAATTGCCGAACAAATAACCCGAGATTTTCACTTCGTTAATTCTTCACGCTTCTCAGCAACTGTTTATTTTACACATTCTGCTCTCGGGAGAAGCTACCACACAGGACCGTAAGGCGCATCGACTCTTGCAAAAGCCAGCCACCGCGGTTCCAAAGCCGAGTCTGCTGCCTGCTGACTTTCGAAATCCGTGCTTCCAATACTAGGCAACGCCACGGAAGAGTAAAATTCCAGTCGCGCAAGTGGGGAAAGATGTTTCTGTGTATATTTGGTTTGAAAGTGGATGGAGTTGTTGGGGCCAAGGAAATAACTTCATTCATTCGTTCCATTGAGTCTGATGAGGGCTTCTTTTTCTCCACCAAGGGAGAAGTTTTGCTACTTTTTCAAGCACGGCCCTGTAACAGTGAGAGACTTTGATAGAAAAAGGACCACAGAGGAATTTCGAATGAAATAAATGTGTGACTGCGCCGCCTTCATTACTGTATCTTGCACTGTGACTGCATCAGGCAAGAGGGAGCAGGGATTAACCCGCTTCTGCTGAACAACCTCCCCGCCTTTTCTGGCACAGGACGATTTCTTGTGAATAGAAAATGTACCCTTATGAAATAATTCAATTGACCTTTAAAGTATTCACTCTATCCCTAACCCGGGCCCCCCTTTTCCCTCTCCTTTTCCCATCCCCCATTCTCTTTCTTCCTAGGCATTGGTTAAATGTATTTGAGGGTAATTAACCCATCACACCTATAGCTTTGGGTAATGATTCTTTCATCTGCCTAGGGCTTTACTTTCCTCCCTTATCCCCTCAGCTGAACCATAGCTGCAGACTCAAAGCATATAAATTTTATAAAATTCAGTTAAATTCATAAAATTATCATTTTATGGCATTTTACACATCATATAATGTGTGCCCTATTATTTAATCTGGAAAAGAAACCCACCAAATAACTTTATTCCCACACTACTGACGAAGAAGTGGAAGATCAGAAGAACTAAATCATTTGCAGAAAGACATGTATTTTACTCATTTACTTATTTGACTGGTTGGACACATATCTTTTGAGCACCTAGAATGTGCCAGGCATTATGCTAGATACTGGAGAAAAAGGAGGAGGGGAAAGATGGGGAGGCACCAAGGACTAGTGGAATTCAGACTCTCTGAATAACTCTAAACGTGGTTTATTGTTATTGTTGTTATTTGTAGATATTAAAGCACAAGTACTATGCTTATGCTTTGGGCTTTAGAGTTTTGGTCCAGCCTTGCTACTGGCTAGTCCCTTTGCACATTCCCTCTTCAACCTGGAGCCTAGAAAGTTTACAACCTATTAGGTCACTGTTTTTGAATTTTTGTTTTTTTGGGGGGGGTTTTTTTGTGTGTGGTACACGGGCCTCTCACTGTTGTGGCCTCTCCCGTTGCGGAGCACAGGCTCCGGACGCGTAGGCTCAGCGGCCATGGCTCACGGGCCCAGCCGCTCCACGGCATGTGGGATCCTCCCGGACCAGGGCACGAACCCATGTCCCCTGCATTGGCAGGCGGACTCTCAACCACTGCGCCACCAGGGAAGCCCTTAGGTCACTGTTAATTGCCACCCAGACTACCGGCATCTATTCACAGGGACATTGGATTATTCCTCTAGAAGCTGATGGATTTCACATGGGTTGGGAAGACCTCAGCCAAGATCCAATTCTCAATATACGCCAATCAGCCGTATTGAAGAATTGAAGGCATTTGCTGTCAGATTGGAGGGAGAGCCTGTCTGCCGATGATCCACAGGAGGGTGGCCACTGCGAGGACGAGTTCGTCATGAGTCGAGTTTGCATCATGGCCTGTGGGTTTCTCTGTGACTCTGGAGCCATTATTATTTAGGACAGCAAAGGCAGCACAAAAATGCTTCTCTTTGAAAGCTATGTTGCCTCTGGGCTTCGACTTCTGAACGAAATGAAGGGGCATCACCACACCAGGTCTCCTGAGGCCTGGAGGTTGTTTCCTAAGAGTGGCAAATTACTCATTGATATTTTTTCTCCGGAGTGTCTCTCTCTTTTCCTTTCCACTAACACTCTTGCCTTCTGTGAGCATGCCCTGCTTGTAACACACACACAGCATACACTGCATCGAGCATGAGAGAGAACTGGAAAGTCAGGTAGGAAATGGGCAAACCACTTTTCTGCTTTGTAAACCAATCCCTGGGCCAGCATTTAGCTTACTCAAAGGGTGTATTCTTCCATTTGGATGAATACTTATTCAGAAGGGAAAAACCTAGCTCTGTTCAAAAAAATAAAAAAGATTTGGAGCCTCCATTCATCTGTCAAATCAAACATATGAATGTAGATTCATTCATCTTGTTGTCCATCGCTTTCACGGTTCTCTTCCACTTCAATTATGTGTGTTTTCTCAAAGAGTGGGATTCTTAAACCTAAATAATACTACTCCCACTGGTGCACAAGCACACCCTGCTTCCTGCTTTGAGATCTACCTTAATGAACTCATTAGTTTCCTTGATTAGAGCCAGTTGGCCAGAATGAAGCTTCCAAATAAGGATCAATAGCTGAAGCAAAAAAAAAAAACAAAAAACAAACCTTCTTTCATGACCTTCAGCTTTGTTGGTTATCACACTCAGCCCTATTATCAATGCCTCAGTAGCCAAAAGAACAAGGAACTGACAGAATAGTAATGATTAGTGCACAACCATCACTAACATTGGAAAAGAAGCTGAAAAGCTAAAATCTAAGTCTTCCCCAAATGCTTCCTTTTTGTATGCTAAGAGTAGCACCCACGATTTGACCCTCCTCTCTCCCTCTGTAACATGCCATATGGCAGGAAACTAGGCAGTTTTAAGTTTTCCCCTGCCTTATACTTAGCAACATATTACTTGATAATGAGGCCCCACTAGAGTTTGGCCTCTCTGCCAAGGTCCCTCGCAGCTCTAACAGAAAAATCCAGTGAAATGAGATGAACAGAAATCCAGGCAGTTTAGTACAAGAAGTGAATAAGAACTCCATAGGACTCATCTTGAAACTCGGCAAATGGGAATTATTCTGGGAAGAGTTTGCCTTCTGAGACACCTCATTTCTTCCTCTGCTACATCCTTTGTTGGAAAATGACCTTTAAGATCTCTTCCAACCTGAGGTTCTGTGAACCAACAGTAAATTGGTAATGGAAAGTTTGGAGCTGCCAAGGGGGAAAACTGCCCCTAGAAATTTCACTGCCCAGTAGGGGAGTCAGTAAACTTATGGGGATTCTAATCACTTTTCTAGTATATCAAATTCAGAATCGGCAGTGGAAATTTGTCAAATTTAATAATGATAATAATAATAAATGGTAGTTATTACTACTGTTTATTAAGAACTAGCTCTATACCAGGCACTGAGCCAAACACATTTCAGGCCTTAATCTCATTCACAGAACATCAGAGCTGAAAGAGACCTTAGGTATCACAGACTCTAACTTCTTTATTTAATAGAAAAGAAAATGGAGGCCAATACTCTGTAATAACCTATATGGGAAAAGAATCTGAAAAAGAATAGATATATGAATATGTAGAACTGAATCACTTTGCTGTACACCTGAAACTAATACAACATTGAAAATCAACTATACTCCAACAATAAAATTAAAAAAAAAATACATTGGCTTTCATGTTAAAAAAAAAAAAAAACTAATTTGGAAGACATTAATCCTATCATGGAAAAAAAAAGTTAAGAAATGGATGAATAATAGAAATAGAACGAAGGAAGGAACTATACAGAAAGAAAGTAGATCAATGATAGACAGTTCTGGGGATTAACTGCAAGAGAATACATTTAAGGCAAAGAAAGCAATCTATATCTTGATTGTAGTGGTGGCTATATTTGTCAAAACTTGTCAAATTATAAAATGAATGCTTTTACATAAATTATACATCAATAAAGTTGATTTTTTAGAAAAAAAACAAAAAAAAAACGAAGGAAGGGATACATGGACCAAAGATAATAGTGTGCTATGAACCTAGGATTAACATTAATCTAATTTGCAAACTTGGGTTAATAAATTCAATGGGTTAATAAATTCAATCAGGAGAATGGACACCTGACTTAACATTTCAGATTCTTTAGATGTTTAACTACCACCATCTAAAAATATGACCCATGACACATATGGGTCATGGAAACAAGTTAATTCAGGGCTTGATATTACCTTTCTGTATAATATTTAAATAATGGGACACTAATAGGTGACTAACATCTTGCAGATTTGGGGAGGCTTTTGCTCCTTCTTCGACCTGCTTGAAGTTGTCTAAGATTGGCATAATTGGCCCTCACCTGTGGACATTTAAAACCTACAAAGACAAGCGGGGTCTCAGAAAGCTTTCCAGTTGGAAGCAAAGTGTAAAGGTTGTGGGTGACTTCCTTCAGATATACATATGAAAGAAGTGACACCAACTCTGTCACCTTCTAGCTTCTATCCCTCATCCCAGAGCAGTATACCCATCAGGATGGATATGGTGGATGGATGTGATGTTCCCCTCTCCCTAAGTTAGACTCTAATTCAGGAAAAAGCAGGTTGAGAGGGGTGGGGAAAAAAATCAAAGCAATAGGCTTGGGTCTTGGAGCTTTACCCACCAAAAGGAATGAATCCTATGACAATGGCAGCAGCCTTCCC